CCAGCCCAGACAAGGATTGGGTCCAGCCCCTCTGGGGAACTCATGTAACTCCCCCAGGCCAGATGAATCGTGACTCAGTGATGACAACAGCTGTAGAAGTAAGGGTTTGCCTTCTGGCTCAGATCCACACCTTTGTCCTCTGTCAGAGAGAGGTGGCTGCTTAGCACCATTATGGTGGGTGATCAGGTAAGTCACCCACAGGGCTAGAGACCATGAGCCTAGAGGAAATGTTAGAGGGTAGGGAAGTACACACCTGTCATCACCTGGAAAGCAGCCACACTGACGTAATCCTCTGCCACTTTCTGGAAGAGCTCGTCTGGCAAGCAAAGATCAGTGAGGTCCTGGAGCCAGAAGCCCCAGAACTCCCAGTGTTCTGCCTGCTCCTCTGACAGGCCCCAAGACAACACTCACCCACACTCTGGCCTGTCTTGCTGGATGTTTCAAAGAGCTGGGCTTTGATATCTGCAAAGAGAAGTGACTGAATCAGACCTAAATATAGCTAACAGTTCAGTTTCCAGGATCCCACGGGTTCAAGAAGGCCAGAAAGCAGCCAAGGCTGTCGGTCTTCTGTCCTTGTAATCCACTCAAGCAGGTATTACCCGCCCCCTGACACACACACACAACCCCCTCCCCATCCTCAAAGGCTTTAGAACAGCTACTATCTGCATAGTCTTGGACATCATGGAAGTCTACACGACGGCGCCGCCTGTCTTCCTCCAGCAGGTCACTCTTGGTGCCACACAGGTAGATTTGACAGCCCTATAGCAGAGGACAAGGCTGAGGTTATTTTTACAGAATAGCCGAGTCCCTGTCGCTGATCCTGATCCGTGAGATCTGGCCACCTACCTCTTCTAAACTGCGTAGCTCCTTCACCCAGAACTTCGCTCTCTCAAAGCTGCTGCTGTCAGTGAGGTCTTGGTAGGGTCAGACAGGAGACACAACCAAGGATCAGTGGATTCCCTCTGATGCTGGCCTGTAGCCCAACCCTTACTTGAATAGGACAGAATCCAACCCCTTACCATAACAGACAATGGCAGCTTTGGCACCCCGGTAATAGATTCTGCTCATGGCTTCGTAGCGCTCAGATCCTGCTGTGTCCTGGGAGGTGAAGGGAGTTAATGAGCTTCACAAGACTACGAATTAGGTCCGCGTCTTCCAGACCCCCCTTTTTTAGATAAGTGAATGGGTGTGGGGAAGGAAAAACGACCTCTATGAGGCTCCAGTTGGCTAGTTTAAGAGGCAAGACATTAAATCTCGGGGATGGTTTTGCTCAAGACTATATCCCGCAGGAACCTACCCAAATACCCAGAGTCACCGTCCGGTCTCCAACGCACATCACCTTGGCCACGAAGGCAGCCCCGATGGTCTGCAACCAGGGAAGAGATAAGAGTCGAATGCAGGCCAGCCCCCTTCTTCCCATGCCTGGTCCGGAGGGGTACACTCACGTTCTGATAGGGGCCCACCAAGAAGCGGTCGTGCACGTATCGTTCCACTAGGCTCGTCTTGCCCACGTATTCCTTGCCGAGCATAACCACCTTGACGTCCACGCGCTGCCCGCTCATGCTCCCGGAGCCGCCTCACCCACGTCAGGGTCTGCGCGGCCCAGGCGAAGTCCAAGCCTCAGACACTAACCCCAAGGGCCTCGCACCTCGCAGGTCCCCGGCGCCTCGGCCCGGGGCGCTCCGTCCCTTGCAAAGCCGCGGCGCGGGGACGCGGACAGCGCCCTCCACCGCGCCGCCGGGCCCTACGCCGCTCACCCGCGTGACTGCAACTGCGGCTCCGCTGCGCCGGGGTTACCGACAGAAACCGAGGTCCCCGCAGCTAACTTCAACCCGCACCTCCGGGACTGGACGACAAGAGGTGGGACGTCCGGTCACGTGACGCGAGCGCCGGAAGTGGCCGATCCTCCGCGGCCGGCGCCGGAAGCGTCGCGCAGTCTTATAGTCCCTCATGGCGGCGGTAGGGACCTGGGCGCGGCGCCGCGGTGACTGAACTGCGAGCCTGGCGGGCGTGCACCGAGATACGCGCCCCCCACCCCCGGGCTCTTCACCCTGATGCTGCACGGGTGC